ATGGTACTAGTGGAAATAATAGATTATAGATCTAATTTGGAAGTGAGATTAACAGGTTGACACTCAAGTTTTTTTGGCTTTAATAACTCACTGAATGATGGCATCACTTGCTGAAATGGAGAAGGGTGGGAGAGAGCTAGAGAATATATGGATTTTAAAAATCTCAATTTCATTTTGGACATGTTAAGTCTGAAAGGCCTATTAAATGTCCAAAAGGAATGTAGGATGAGGGTTAGGTTCTTCCAGCAAGAAAAGCAGCCTAGAAAGAAGGCTTACTTTCAAGGGAAGCCTGACTCCCAGTGTGCTGGGGTAGTTGTCAGATGGAGGTCATTATCCTGAGAAGCACAGAGAAATAAAAGTCAAGAACGATATCCCTGGCCAGGTGGGAGCATCAGTACAATATGACAAGGTTGCAGGTTCAATCCCTGGACAGGCCACATACAAAAATCAACAATTGAATGCAAAAATAAGTGGAACAACAAATCTCTCTCTCTCTCTCTCTCTCTCTCTCTCTCTCTCTCTCTCTCTCTCTCTCTCTCTCTCTCTGTCATAAATAAATAAATAAATAAATAAATAAATAAATAAATGTTTTAAAAAGAACTAGTGGTGCTATTTCAGCTCATCTTAGCAAATATTTATTGAGTGCCCATAGGAATCACCTTGAGGCATGAACTTGAAGAGAGAAAACATGGTTTAAAGACTAGTGGCCTTGGCAAAGTTTTAACTTCTATGATCTTAGTTGGATGATTGTGAAGATTAAACGTGATAATTCATATGAAAGCCTCTGGCTATATGTAGTTCATATTATACATTATGGGAGCAGTTTTTATTATCAACAATCAAAATGAATAATACTATATACCTATAATATTGCTTCCTGAAAACGACTAACAACTTGGATGAGGACTTATCTTGTACAGACCAGCTCTTGCCTTGGGAGAAAATATCAGGACAAAATGACACCAAGGAGACTGATGTCTGTACACAGAGCTCCCATGTGGGTGAAGAACACACCTCAGAATCTATGGGTCTCAGCAGATCTTTACCCTGATTGCATGTGACCATAACAGCCACAGCTCAATTATGCTGGCTGCCATCTCTTTGTCATTGCATCAGTGTTGTTTGTACTTCTTGTACCTTCTTTTACAGCCCACCTGTCAGCATTAGTCCACAATCTTGGCAATACACACCAGTAATGGTCAGCCTTCCCTTCTATACAATCTTATAAACTTGCTGCTTCAACAAAATCAGCATTTTTTTTTTATCCCTTTGAGTTGTAGGAAAACTCATTTTCCCCCCTCAAAAAACAGGTACTTTCAGATTGCCAAACCTTAGCTTTTACAAAGGCTCCTTAGACTCCGTATGTCCCCACTAGTCACCTTATTGCTGATCTATTATTCACATTATAGGCTTAGATACATGTAAATTACCATTTCTTCTCAAAACACTCCTGGGCAGAATTCATTGCATCTTCATCTCTAGTTCCATTTCGCTCTGTTTATATAATTCAACAAATATAATATTTATAGAATACCCGTTGAATGCCAGGACTCTTTCAGATGCAAATGACAGAAACCCAATCCAAGTAGTTTAAATAAACTAGCTCATGTTTTATCCTCATCTATATTTCCATTTCTCTCTATTTGTAATTCAATATACTTAGTCAACAAACATTTATAGAATGCTGGTAAGTGCCAGGACTCCTAGATGCAAATGACAAAAACTCAAATCCAAATAGCTTAAGCAAACTAGCTCACCTAACTAAAAAGTATGAGAAAAAACTTGGTGAGGTCCAGGCATTCAAAGGATGTCATTAATATTCATCTTTCTTTTGTACAGGCTGATTGAGTTGGGTTCCCTAGAAATAGAGCCTGAGATAGGATTCTCAAGAAATTTAATTATTGAGGGAATGCTTTCATGAAAGGACATGCGAGGGAAACAGGGGGAGAAACTTAAGTGAGAATGTGGTTTCCACTGAGTTTATCCCACCCTGGAGTATAAATGACACCACACAGTTTATCCCACCTTGAGGCAAGGGAGTCTGTCTTTTGCATCCCCTTGGCAGTCAGTCAAGGCTATGGGATGGGGCAGGATTGTGCTGATCTCCCCAATCAAGTTGCCTTTTCATCAGCTTGAGCTATGCAAGAAAATTACTGTTTTATGGCCACCACATGGCTTTAAGTAGAGCTATTATTACATATGACTCCTAATGATTTGTTGTTTATTCCAAAATTCTGAAACTGTTTTCAAAGGGCAGACCTGAAAACTTTGAGGATTTTTAATTTCTCTGAGTTTAGTTTAACATAATTTTGTTACAGAATTTACCAGGTGACCAAAAAAAATAGTGGAGACACAGGAAAAACCCATTGATTTTCTGATGTTTTGCATGGACCAGTACAACACTCAGGGGAGTCTGTTTCTCTCCAAATCCTGAGCAAACCAATATGGAGGAAGCTCTTCCTTTACACCCTTTGGTTTCTTTGTCCCCCAAATAGGGATGGGACTTCCAGACCTTTCGTGGGCTTTGCGAAAAGCCCCATGTGCTGGGATGGGGGCCATGAGACCACACCTAAAGGCCTGGCCTGGCACCAGCACTGATAACCCCATCTGGGCGTTGTTCATGGCTATGCTCTCTGTAAAATGGTACTTAGGTAAACTGGTTTTGCAAGACCAGATTGTGGAGAAAGGGTCAGTGACTTAATTATAGGCTATCAAGAATGTACATTATGTTACTGCACCGATTCAGATTGCTAACTGCCCCAAAATGTTTCATTTTCCCCTTCATCCTCCCCCCCACCCCCCACCTCCTGTTGATCCTCAAGCTGATTTTCAGCCTTGGGGATTCAATAGAAGACTCAAAGCTAGGGAGTAAGCTTATGTTCAGCACCTCGAGTCCTTTTTTTTTAATCTTTATCACTCAAGGGATTGTGATGATAGTCCAGAGACCTGGTCTGGAGGAACATCTGGGGCTTCAGGGCTTACTGATTCTATCTGTTAGCTGTTCTAAGCCTGTTGGCTTTCTTAGAGGAAGGGAGAGGGAGTCTGCACAGTTTCTTCATTTCCAGCTTCAAAGCAGTTGGAGTGGTGAGAAGCACATCTCAGGGTCCCATCTGTTTCTTCTCTAGTTGGCCCATCATCCTTGCTCTTCTCATGTCTATCTAACTGCCTCACACATCCCCTCAAGGATCTTGGCTCTGAATTCTTTCAGGGAAAATGGATGTTGGTGAGCTCCTCTGATACTTCCATGCTGAGGAGGGATGGCAATTTCTTTCAGAGCCAAGAGATCCTTGCTCTCTGTCAGAGGGACAATGAGACGTGGGCACAGAAGGAGGTGGGCTTGAAACCTGGCAGAGACAAACTGTATTATAAAATTTAGTGTTATTGAGCAATTAGAACAGCAAGAGTTACAACCAATGGTCTGGTGGAAGGGAAAGAAACATTTCGGTTCTAATAACTCCTATTGAAATAGAATTTTTCTCCTTAAAATCACCCTTATGCTTATTAAAGAGCCAAACCAAGACCAATTTACCTATTGCATTCAATTTGGCCTGATCGTTTGCATAAACACAACAAGTATGGTAACTGACCACCTTCGCTGAAATTTTCATGATTGAATCTCAATGTGCCCCATAGGGCAGAGAAGCCAAGCCATCCAGCTGCCATCAGCCTGCCTGCAGCATCTGCTGGGTTAGGTGAATTCCTCACCTGCAGCGACTCCACCAGCCCGCTCTGTAGGCTTCAAGGCCCATCGCAACAGCCCTCCTACTCCTCGTGACCTATAGTGTGTGGGGGTTCCACAAGGATGCAGAAGCGCCTGTGTTTCCCCTCCCACGCTGACCAGCCACCAGCAATGGCAGGGTATGGGCCTGATGCTCCAGCACTATCCATTTTCAGCTACCAAGCAAGATACCAGGCTTTTTCTGTGGCAACTCTTATTGGCTTCAAGTCTTCAGAGTCCAGGCAGGGCTCTTTAAAAAGAAGACATTTCAGTCAAAATTTTCTGTCAATAAAAACACCATTGAAAACCGGTCTTATTGAATTTATGCAAAGAAACGCATTGCCATGATTCATTCATTGAGTATTGCCAAATTTCAGAGGAGAAAAATACACCAACCTGCTTTAAGATCTTCTGATTTTCCTTGCCAGTCCTTTCCATGGACTCTTCAGAGTAATATTTTTCCGAATGTATTATAACAAAGCAGTTACTGTCTCCAAATGACAAGAAGGAATTTAAAATGACACATTTATGGATTTCATTATAATGCAGAAGACATGGAATGTTGTCCTTTCTGTAAAACCCAACATTCTATAATATAACTAATAACCATTAGTTATAACTATATTTGACAAAGGTTCCTATGTACCTTCAGCATAAAACTTTTCTTCATGAGAGAGAAAACAAACCTTTGAGGTATTTCAGAGCCTATTGGGATGATCTAAAGCCAATTCTAAATCAAAAGGAAGTTTTTAAAAAAGTCAAACCTTTGAAGGATTGTCAAACTTGATTTTACCAAAAGATTAAATATTAAAGTGTATTAGATAGGAACATAAGCCAGCAAACTTTAGTTCCTATGATTAAAAGATGGTCTTTTTATTAAATACCTGATTAATATAACATAATTATTTTACTAGAAAAGAAGTGACCAAAGTAAGGCTTATTTTTTAACTTCATTTGTCCTTGAGTGTGGACAGCAAATGACATTAATTGGATTTCTCCCATCAGTCTTCCTGAGTACTTCGGCATAAGCTATTTACCCTGTGTCTGGGGAGGCAAAATGCAAATCATTGACTTTTAAGTGTCGTTGGTTTAGGGAAGACAGTGTTTTCTAAATGGTTGCAAACTGCTGTTTAAATATCTCAGCTTTCCTGTTCTGCTTGTCCTGGCTTACTGGCCTGTATCATTTAATTAATTTCCTTTTAACATTTTTCTTTTCTTCCTTATCACATACACAACCTTCACAAATTTCATACTTTCAAACCTTCAAACCTTCTTCCTATGGCCTTCAAAAATGCATAACCATGCCTCAGTCCTTCCATTAAGTATTTCTACGCTAATATTCTTTCTTCCTGTCATACCATCAGCAATTTGTACAGACCTTTAATTTCTTTGAAATGTATTAGAATTCTTCACTTTTAGAAACCTTAATTTTTCAATGATTACCAAAAAGTAAACAATCAGCATTTATTAGATTAACATTTATGAGCACACTTTAAGCACACTCTTACTTTCAAGAAAATATACCTTCAACGAAGTACAAGAGAACTTCCGTAATAAAAACTAAGAGTAAGCAAATTAAAACTTGTCTAGCAATTAATGTTTCAGGTGTTGTTGTTTTTTTTTTTTAATATTTACATGATTATCATTTAACTCAGCAATGCTCCAAAGCCTTTTTAACATTTTCTTGAGATGTCAGGTTAACTGTTGGTGAAAAAATGTAATTTACATTATTTCTTGGCCAAACAGGTCCTTAGGGTCTGGCCCAGAATACTTTCTCATTTTATTTTTTAATCTTGGTAAATTCAGAAGGCCCTTCTTTGCTTTGCTGAATATTGAAGGCCTTATTTACCGTAGGTTCTGAGTCCCACTGGGCTCCCGGGTTTGGAAATCTTACATCTATTGGAAGAACACCAGGGCCAGCCAGGTGTGCTCCCTTTTTCAGATAGCCATAGCTGACTTTCAAATCGCTCCCCCTTCTTTTAGTCTAGCTAATCAGCTGAGCCATGTGGGCCTTCCAGCAGAGTTTTAAACTCTTTTTTTACTGGTTCAACTCCTTTCGCAACCTAGAAAAGCTGGTTTCTTGATGGCACAGTAGCCTCATGGTGGTTGGAGCCTTATCAAGATAGTTCTCCTCCTGTGTGTGTGTTGGGGGGAGGGCTGGGATTGTAAATCATCATCTTGGCTGTTTCCTCAGATCATCCTGGGAGGCATCGGGAGGGGAAGGCAGGACAAGGGTCTCATTCCTGTCTGCCCTTGTTCTCTTTTAGGCTTCTCTGCCTTTATAGAGAGAACGAGGACTGGCCCCTTCCTCCAGTAGAGAGCACAGTCAGTCTCCTCTTGAGTGACTAGACTTTTATTATTAACATAATTATAATTATTAATGAAAAGCTTCATCTAAATTCTTCATTTTAGTTATATCTATTTATTATATCTTAACAACTTTTGTATTTTTAAAGCCAATTATTACCTAAAGCATTTTCTTGACGAATAACCATGATTGTCCTTTCTTTTCTTTCTTTTTTAATATATTTTTATTGATTTTTTACAGAGAGGAAGGGAGAGGGATAGAGAGCTAGAAACATCGATGAGAGAGAAACATCGACCAGTTGCCTCTTGCACACCCCCTACTGGGGATGTGCCCGCAACCAATGTACATGCCCTTGACTGGAATCGAACCTGGGACCTTTCAGTCCGCAGTCCGATGCTCTATCCACTGAACCAAACCGGTTTCGGCCTTGATTGTCCTTTCTATTCACACTAATCTGGATCCTATGCTCCGGAGCGAGAACTGTCCATTAAAATGGAAGCTTTAATCTTGTTACCCAACCCAGCCTGTATAGCTTACTAGTACTTCCTTATGTAATTTCAAGTATATTGCATTGGTCTAATGTAGTTCAAAATATTTCTTTTTTGGGAGAGAGAATAAATCTTTGTGTCACCTCAGGGCCCTTGAGATGTCACAAAGCTATCTCTAAGTTAAATTCTTGAAATGTTAGGAAAAGCTGTCAGATATAAAGATTATTAAAACTTAAACCGGTTGTAACAATAAAGATTTGGTCTTGACAACAGAATTAATCCTTTTAGTCAGGCCAATAAGATATTATATCTTTAAGTTCCTCTGCAGAATGTTCTGATGTAGTTTAAGAAACACTCAGCTATCTCATTCAGCTAGGCTCGGAGCCAGAAACCTCTTGCTTGTCTGCTTAAGAGTAAAATGACCTTTTTTTTCCTGTTCTTATCTTTCCCCCTCTTCCCATCCCTTTCTGCATTAACCTTTTACTCTGTCCTTAGCAAGGGAGATAAGGGTCTGTTAGTTACAAGCAAGCTACAAACTAGCTAGTTGTTCTTTGTTTAAACTTTCCTGAGATCTTTATGACCCTTTTACAACTCTTGAGAATAGTCTTGGAATCTTAACAAAAAATTTAAATATGTTTTATTGATTTTTTACAGAGAGGAAGAGAGAGGGATAGAAAGCTAGAAACATCGATGAGAGAAACATCGACCAGCTGTCTCCTGCACTCCCCCACTGGGGATGTGCCCGAAACCAAAGTACATGCCCTTGACCGGAATCGAACCTGGGACCTTTCAGTCCGCAGACCAACCCTCTATCCACTGAGCCAAACCGGTTTCGGCAGAATCTTAAAATTTTTAACCCAGCACAGAAAATTATAAATCAGGGAAGAGCAAATTAAAGTCCTTCCTTTACAGACATAAAGTCCGAAGTATCACTAGCTAAGAGTTTCTGGTGAGCTAATCCCCGGAACAGAAAGAGCAAGATTATCTCCAAGAATAAGGATTCTTGGCAGCTGCTGGGACATCCTGCAATCTGTCACATGCTTAGCCTCACCACACACAACTATGCTTCCTTCAAAGTGGGACTTGCCTCCTCTTTAAACAAATTAAACAACAAAGGGACATAAAACGTCAACAAACAACTCTCATGTTTGCCATCCTTGGTCATAAGCTGGGGGCCCCTGATTTCGCAGAGAGACATCTGCATTTCAGGCGGCAGTGTGGGCCCTTTTTCATTTTCTTTAGCATACATTCTAGCACAGCAGGTTTCAAGGAACGACTTCCCATACTTGCAGCCAGACAGCACAATCCCCTCCCAGTTAACAGAGACACAGGACAACACAAAGCAGCTTGCACGTCACTCACTTTCACACACCAGTCAGTCTGAGTTTTGACCCGCACCCACTGTTGGGGAGGTGTGGGGGGGAGAAACTCTCCAGTCAGATGTCTGGTTTCAGAAAAGTGTTTTCCTGTCTTCCTCCGAGTTTACTGGAGCACTAGCAGGGGCCCCGGTTGCCTGGCCTGATGAGGACTGGAACCCAGTAAATCACTGGAGCGTGCTTTCCCGTCATCATGGGCTGGGTTGAGTGGGCCTACTGGCCTGATCTCGCACAGCGGTGCCTCCAGGGGGAAAGTTCTCGGTCAGGGAACCATTTTTTATGTTACAGAATTTACCAGGTGATTGAAAAATACATAGGAGTGCCAGAGACATAGGGAAAAAACATTTATTTTCTGATGTTTCGCATGTACTAGTACAGCACTCAGGGGAGACTATTTCTCTCCAAATCCTGAGCAAACCAATATGGAGGAAGCTCTTCCTTTACACCCTTTGGTTTCTTTGTCCCCCAAATATAAGTGGGACTTCCAGACCTTTTGTGGGCTTTGCAAAAAGCCCCATGTGCTGGGACAGGGGCCGTGAGACCACACCTAAAGGCCTGGCCTGGCGCCAGTGCTGATAACCCCATCTGGGCATTGTTCATGTTAGGGTCTTGGTAAAATGGGAGTAATTCTTAGATAAACCGGTCTTTCAAGACCAGATTGTGGAGAAAGGGTCAGTGACTTAATTATAGGCTATCAAGAATGTACATTAGGTTACTGCACAGATTCAGATTGCTAGCCCCCAAAACATGTCTCATTTTCCATATCAATTCATTGATCATCAAATTTGCTTTAATAGAGTGATGTGTTACAAAAGGTAAACTAAATCTTAATTCCAGCAAGCTAAGAATTTAGGACTGCTGCCTGTATATGTAGTGACTTGTGATGGTAGGGAATTCAAATTTCATTTTGTGGCCAAAACCGGTGTGGCTCAGTGGATAGAGCGTCGGTCTGCGGATTCAAGGATCCCAGGTTCCATTCCGGTCACGGGCATGTACATTGGTTGTGGGCACATCCCCGGTAGGGGGTGTGTAGGAGGCAGCTGGTCGATGTATCTCTCTCATCAATGTTTCTAGCTCTCTATCCTTCTCCCTTCCTCTCTGTGAAAAATCAATAAAATATATTTTAAAAAATTCATTTTGTGTATTTTCTGGACAGCTGCTGCCAGAACTGTAGGTTTTTATTAAATGTGTACTTGACTATATTCAGTGTCATTGGATCTAAGGCCAAGAGGACATACACTGAAAACAGAAAAGCCTTTAGATACATGCTCTTAAGGCAATAGAGACAGTCAATCATCATTGATTTGTATATCTTTTTTACCCTTCAGCTGCAAGAGCAAAGGAGTTCTTGCCATGAACCCAATTTGGGACTTTGGAAGTAAACCTCTGTTTTGCATGGCTCTGTACAAAAGGGAAGGTTAGCATAGTTAAGCTATTGAATAGTTGCGTGGCCTGGTAAGGTAGAGAGTTCAGTTTGCTCTCTCAAGTGCCCTGGGTTTCCTTATGCTGGGAACTCTGAGTTGAGGGGCAGTGTTTCGGCATGAACTGATAATAAATAGATCATGCAGCAAAGGCATGAACAGTGGACAGCCAAGGCCAGGGCCTGGTTGGAGAATGTGGTGGAAATAGAGAGTAAACTGTAATACCTAGAGACAAAAGAAACTAAATCAAGAAAAGGACACTGGAAACTGAGTGAATACCAAATAGGCCATTAATTTCATGCCAAAGATCAGAAATAAATCAAATATTTGTGGATATATAGCAGGCAGTGCATATACATGGATCAACGTAGGTGTGGGGCTTTTTACTCACCAATGTCACACGATCATGAAGGGTGAACCCTTCTACCTGTATACCTAGAGGTCATCTTTGGAGAGAAAAAAGGAGAGGGGATGAATTTAGAAAGCTTAAGTTAAATTTAGAAATCCCTTTAAATGAGTGGCTTTAACTAACTTATTTTATTTTTTATTGTATAAAAATATACATAACATAAAGTTTACCATTATAGCCATTTTTTTAAAATCAATCTTTATTGTTCATATTATTACAAAGGTTCCTCATTTCTTCCCCCCTCCACCAGGTTCCCACCCCACCCTCTGCCCTTTCCCCATCCCCCACTGTCCTCATCCATAGGTGCACAGTTTATCTTCAGTCTCTTCCCACATCCACCACTCCCCCTTTCTCAGAGAATTGTCAGTCCACTCCCCTCCCGTATCTCTGATTCTATTATAATCAACAGTTAATATTGTTCATTAGGTTTTTTAATTTCCTTTTGTTGTTGTTGTTGTTGTTGTTTTAATTAATAAACTTTTATATTTTTAAGAATAAATTTTAAAATCTAATAATTTTAAACCTTGTTTTTTCTGCCCTGGGAACTGAGAAGCAAACTTGTTTACATGTAAACTTGCCCTTAGGCTATCAAAAGGTGTAGCCATTCAAATGTAAATGGACACATTGTTTAAAGATGGCTGCTGGCTGGAATTGGATTACCTGTTCTGGGTGGGAAGGGCTTGTCCTCCCCTTTCTCCATTAAAATTAATGTGTTAGCTTTAAAACCTCTTTTTGGCAAGAGACCTTAAACTTTCAGATCTTTAAATTTTTCAGGAAGTACATCAATTACTTAGCATTTTCTCAAATCAATAATACCTCCACATGCCCAAGGATACACTTCACACAAAAGACACTTCCAAATAGATCAACTAACCTCATCCAGACCCCACACAAGGCACTCACACATCAACACCCCAGCCCTATACTAACTCAACACATCCAGATCTAAGCCTTCATCACTTGATTCAGCAGACCCTCAAGTTCCCCCAAAAGTTTCCAGCCATGTCTGAGAGGCAGCCCTGGGGCATGGGCAGGCGAGGAGCGAGCTGTTCTGGGCCTGGCCTCTGTTGCTCTGGTCCACTCCACAACCAGCTGCTCTGGGTCTGGCCACTGATGCTCCAGGCCTGGATGCTGCTGCTCCTGGCCTAGTTGCTCCCAACCTGGCTATTTCGTGCCCGGCTGCTCCGGGCCCAGCTGCTCTTGGCCTGGCCACTCCCGGCCTGCCTGCTCTGGGCCTGGCCGCTGCTGCTCCGAGCCTGGCTGCTCCGGGCCCAGCTGTTGCCGCTCCGGGCCTGGCTGCTGCTACTCCAGGCCTGGATGCTTCTGTCCCAGCTGCTCCGGGCCCTGCCGCTCAGGGCCTGGTCACTCCAGGCCTGGCTGCTGCTGCTCCGAGCCTGCCATTATAGCCATTTTTTAAAAATACGCTTTTATTGATTTCAGAGAGGGAGGGAGAGAGATAGAAACATCAGTGATGAGAGGGGATCATTGATCACCTGCCTCCTGTACACCACTACCCAAAGATCAGGCATGTGTCCAGGAATTGAACTGTGACCTCCTGGTTCATAGGTTGATGCTCAACCACTGAATCACACTGGGTGGGCTTAATCATCTTTAAGTGTACGGTGTAGTGGTGTTAAGGACATTTATATTGTTTTATAATGATTACTGTAAAAAGTAAAGCAAGCCCCCAAAATCAGGGGTCCTGATAGAATGCAAAGCACACTAGGGAGGCGGACAGCAAATGTTTTTACCCCTGCAGGAGGGTATGCATGCACAGGATCTAGGAGCACATGCACACTGAGCAGGCAGTCCACTGATACATGTGATTTGTCCTCACTCTTTTTTTTTAAATAAATTTTTATTGTTCAGATTATTACAGATGTTCTTCTTTTTTTTACTCCCATAGCTCCCCCCGACCCGGTTCCCTACCCCACCCTCTGCCCTTACCACCCCCCACTGTCCTCATCCATAGGTGTATGATTTTAGTCCAGTCTTTTCCCACATCCTAGGCACCCTTTTTCCCCTGAGAATTGTCGTCCACCCCCTTTCTATGCCCCTGATTCTATTATATTCACCAGTTTATTCTGTTCCTCAGATTTTTAATTCACTTGATTTTTAGATTCACTTGTTGATAGATATGTATTTGTTGTTCATAATTTTTATCTTTACTTTTTTCTTCTTCTTCCTCTTCTTAAAGAATACCTTTCGGCATTTCATATAATACTGGTTTGGTGGTGATGAACTCCTTTAGCTTTTTCTTGTCTGTGAAGTTCTTTATCTGACCTTCAATTCTGAATGATAGCTTTGCTGGTAATCTTGGTTGTAGGTTCTTGCTTTTCATCATTTTGAATATTTCTTGCCACTTCCATCTGGCCTGCACAGTTTCTGTTGAGAAATGAAACATCTCTATATATAAAAGCCTAAGCAACCACCTGACTGCCCAACCATCTGACCAGTAGCTATGATGTGCAATGACCACCAGGGAGCAGATGCTCAATGCAGGAGCCTGATTCTGGGGTGTGTCACCTGAGAACCACCCTCTTGCAATCTGGGACCTTTTGGGGGATGTCGGAGAGCCGGTTTGGGCCTGATCACTGCAGGCCAAGCTCAGGGACCCCACCTGCCTGAGGGACCTTGCTCACTGTGCAGATGTTCTTCAAGCCATGGTGCCAAGCCAAGTGCAGCCAGCTGTGGAGGAACTATGGGAGGTTGGCTCCAGGGTATGTCCAGCTCCTCTTGCCCATCCTGCCACACCAGTCACCTTCTAATTATTTTCCTATCAATGTGCATGAATCCTAGCACCAAGCCTCTAGTAATTACTATAAGATGCTTTCTGGAGTCACATTCCTGTTCAAATTATGCCTTTCCTACTATGGCTAGGTAACCTTGGGCAAGTATTACATTTATTTGTTTCAGATTCCTCAGTTGTAAAATAGGGGTTAAAAGGGTCCCACTTTAGGATTGTTGTAAAGATTAATGAGATAATGTTTTTAAAACACATGATTCCTGGCATATAGGAAGTGAATGATCTATACAGATAATTATTATATCATCACACTCTAATTAATGAAAAATAAGAGTTTACTGAATCCAAGCTTATAATCACATTGTCAGCTGAACCACTTGGTAGCAAGGAAAGCATTTATAGTTGAAAAACTATAGGCAGACACCTTTATACTAGATAAAAGATTCTCAGCTTTATCATTTGTGAGTGTCATCTAATTCACACCTGAAAAGAAACCAAGAATCCTATCCTTCAGTTCTCCCTCAGGTTAAAAGAAGTAATCTTCCAATCTGCAGAGATTGCATGTAAGTGTAGAACCTGACCTTGAAATTTCTCACCACCCATAAGAATGTTGTGTGCAGGTTAAACAGTCACAACTGCCTTTCCATAGTATTCCAATGCACCTGGTAGTATCCTAAATCACATTTGACTGTCTCTCTCACTAGAGCATACATTTATCAAGGTCAGGGTCAATGCCTGACCTTCTCTATAATCTCATACCTTCCAACACAGGGCCTCAACCTTAGCAAATGTGTTTTTAGTTGAATTTTCTGCTTCTGTTCTATGACATTTTTCATGACATTGAGGGGGGAAAAAACATAGATATAAAAGACATATATTTAAATTCTGGCTGCGTCCACTCAGTGGTTGAATAAACTTGAATCAGTAACTTCATAAGTCCAAGCTTCTGCCTCTCACTTAAAAGATAGAAATAATATTTACCTCAGAGATCAATGAAAATAAAATAAGACAATGCATAATATAAATCACTGTGGAAAGTGACAATAGATGATCAAAGAAATCTTATTTGACTCAGAATTTTGCTGCATTAAGTCATCTCTCTAATTCTCAATTCAATTCTTTTTAAAAAATTTTATTTATTTTTTTGTATTTTATTTTTTTCATTTTTTATTAAGATATTATATGTGTACATATCTTACCATTGCCCCCTCTCCCCACACCCCAATTCAATTCTTAAACTTCTTTTTTAAACTGAGAATTGTACTGGCCTGCCATATAAAAAATATCTCCATTAACTATTTTAAGTAATGGACTTCCTTTTTCTGAAGAGTTTTTGATTTATAGAAAATTGAGCAAATAGCTCAGAGTTCCCATACACTCACCCTTTGCACAGTTCCCTCTATTATTAACATGTTATATTGGGTGACACAGTTGTTATAGTTAACTAGAGGCCTGGTGCATGAATTTGTGCATGGGTGGGTTCCCTTGGCCAGAATAAAATAAGGTAAATAAAGTAGCCAAAGAACATATATAAATAGCCCATGGACATAGACAAAGGAGTGGTGAAGGCCAGGAAAGGGTCCTGGGTGGAGGTGGGCAAAGAGGGGAAAATGGGAGACATCTGTAATAGTACCAAAAATAAAAAATAAAAGAAAGAAAATAAAGGTTGTCTCCATACACAACCTCTTTTTATTTTTTTTCCACAACCTCTTTTTAATGGACAGTAGGCCACAGAGCCATGATTGGGATAGAGATGGCCATTTAATCTTCCATTTTTATTCTATTCAAACAATGATTAAATTATTTTTGTGATTTTTTTTGGCATTCATAATTATTCAATTCTCTCACATTAAAAAGCTCGTTGACTCTCTTTGACAAATACTATTAGACAATCTGCAATATATTTGATGCATTGAAGTCAAACTTTCTGAAGAAAGGGATCCCAAAATTCTTGCCAACTTTTTAAAAATTTCATTGAGTGAATTCTAATTATTTTTTGTTCATGTTTTCAATATTTTCTTAGCAGTAAGATTACTCAAACTTAAAAAGAGCAGTGTTATTGCAGTGCCCCATTGCTTAAAGGAACTTGTTAAATATGTTAAAGAGAGAATTGATAAGAGTGCATTCCTTTAAGTGCCTGTTCTCAAAAAGGACAATGTTGCTTATGAACAGGAAAAGAAGTTCCAACTTGAGTGGACAAAGATTATGCCATTTGTCATAACTAACTTGAAGAATTTTATTCTTTTACATGGATATTTCTAAATATGCATCCAGGAAGTGAAATCATCATGTATAGTAATGAAGAAAGAAAAATAAAGAACTGCACATTACAAAAAAACAAAACAAACAAACAAACAAACAAACAAACAAAAAACTTAGGAAAATTCAACAGTTCTTACCGTATTTTTCGGACCATAAGACGCACTTTTTTCCCCCCAGAAGTGGGGGGAAAAAGTCCCTGCGTCTTATGGTCCAAATATAGCCTACACATATACTTTAAAAAAAAAGTTTTTTTACTTGCCCGGCTCTGTGTGGTCTCTGTGTGCTTGCCCAGCTCTAAAATGGTTCTAAATGCTGCTGTTTACTTTACAGGGTTGATTACATGTGTTTATGACTGTGATGTTGGGTTTTAATGCACATAAAATATTTTAGGACACTATTTGTTTCAGAATCTTTTTTTCTTCATTTCCCTTCTCTAAAAACTGGTGCGTCTTATGGTCCGGAGCGTCTTATGGTCCGAAAAATACGGTATATGTTGTCCTTTGAAGCATTTTTGTCATAGTCTGAAACTATACGTAAGTTCAGGAAAGGGAAGAGGGAAAGTTTTCTCTGACAGATTAGGAAGAACTCAGTAGCTCAATATCCCACAGAAGAGCTTAAAGCAAAAAAGTAAGTCAACTTCCCCCATCCTCTGGGGAACAGAGAGGGTTTGGAGATTGAATTAATAATAAATTATGCCTACAGGAGGAAGCATTCATAAAAATCCCCAAACTATGGAGTTCAGAGAACTTCTCAGTTGGTAAGCACATCCACATGCTAGAAGGCTGACACATCTAAACTCCAAGGGGATAGAAGCCCTTGCTCTCAGTGACCTCCTAAAAAAGAAAAAACATTAAGTCAATTGTCAAAACAGACACCATTTAATTGTTGGGGAAAAAATGGAATTAGGAGAACTGTGGCTGTATTTTCAAGCCCTAGAAATTTCTTCAAGTCGATACTAATTCTAATTGAACAAACAGAAGGAAAAACTTATCAGTCTCAAATTAAACCTCCCATAAAGCAAGAGGAAACAACACATGTCTCTTTATTCTTCCCAAATGTGAGGCAAATAGTAGGTTGTCAGAACCTGGCTTCAGAGAACTTGAGAGTGCTAAGAAAAGCTGAGCTATTCAAAGAAAAAAGCTGTGCTCAGCTCTTCTCTGTCACTGTGATATCAGCCTCTTGTGCCCAGATAACCCTGAGTCCTCTTATTCGTTAAATGATTTCCTTCTATCTAATGCCTGCAGTGCCATGGCCTGATGGTTCAGATAAATCATGTGCCAAATCTTGGCAGATGTGTCTCTTCGTTGTGGGAAGGTCAAGTAGTCCCTTAAAAAATTTGAAGGACACAAAAATATTGCTAATGCACATACGGGTTTGGAGGGGACTACAAGATAAAACACCTTGGCATGCATACAAAAGCCTTCCATAATTTGAAACTAACTTACTTCTTTAGAGTCCTCTCCCATTTTCCCTCTCCTTCCACTAGCACATAGTCTGTCTATTGCCTCTGTGTCTTTGCACATGCTGTTCCTTCTGTCCTTTCTCATCTTCTCCCATGGAAAACTCATAATCATCCTTGAGAACATTTCAAATTCTCTGTAAAATATCTTCCAACAACTCCCGGGAAATTTAATCACTTCTTTGTGCTTTTATAAGCCTTTGTTCATGTCCTCTCTAATAAAAGAGAAACATGCAAATTGACCATACCTTTGCTACACCCACAAGCCACACCCACCAGCCAATCAGGGGTGAGTATGCAAATTAACCCAACCAAGATGGCAGTTAATTTGCATATCCAGGCCAGAGCGAAGACTGAACACATCATAGAAAGAAGCCAAAGGCTGCAGAAGGAAGTGAAGCTGTGGAGAAGCAAGCAAGCGGGTGACAGAGAAGGAAGGGAAGCAGGTGGGGTGGGGGAGAAGGGAGAGAAGCTGGTGGGGCTGTGGAGAAGGGAGGGATGCAGGCAGGGCAGCAGAGACCACAGCAGAAAGCCCTATTGTAGGAATCTTCCTGCAAGGGGCCTCTAGTCTTTATTATAATGCCTGTCACATCATACTGTAATTCAGGGGTCCTCAAACTTTTTAAAGTGGGGGCCAGATCACGGTCCCTCAGAGAGCTGGAGGGCCGGACTATATGAACTACTAATTCCTACTGTAACACCTCGGCTGCCCTCACTGCCCAAAAAACCTGGTGGGCCGGATCAGACTCTTCTGCGGGCCGCATGTGGCCCGAGGGCCGTAGTTTGAAGACGCCTGCTAATTATATGTTAAATTTGAGGACAGAGATCATGTCTTGATCATCTAGTGATTAATGCAGTCCCTGGCGGATAGTAGGTACTCAATGCATTTTTTGAATGAACAAACATCTAAATTGTTTGCTTTATTTTTGTGTGAAATTAGCTTAATACCGTGGTGTCTTTAATATGACAATTTATTCTTCAATACTTATATCGGAGGAAGACAGTGAACAAACTAATTGCATCACTCCTGGAAAGCTGCTAATTCTGTTAAACTTACCCCCCAAAGTGGAGAAAATGTACAAATTACAATGATTATAATTACAACAAAAAAGTGTTTATAAAACCATTTCCATTTCCAATTCTCATTTCTCTCAACAGAGTAAGTATAATAAAGAAAATATACACACATACCCTGTGTAGACTTCATCAGAAGAGGTCTTTAAAAAAATCAAAACAATAGATTTTTACCATCAATAGGGACCTCTTGGTCATTTGTTCAATCCTGTCATGTATGAATCTCTATATTAATCTCCCCAATAAATGCTTACCTAGTCTCTACTTGAACACTTCCAGCGATGGGGGAACTAACTACTTAGAAGGTACTTGATTCCTTATTTTAACAATAATAATAGCCAAGTTTAGCTCAAATCTGCCTCCTTGTATTCGTTAACCATTAAAGTGGGCCCTTTCGTCTTAAACCACAGAAAACATTCATGATTTTCAAAATTTTTATCAACCTGTTTCATATCTGCAGTCTGTCTCTAACACTTCTAAAATTATGTGATATTTGCCTACTGTAGAGGACTTCCCAGAACAGGACTAATATTTAAGCTTGGACTGGCTCTTTACATGTGTAGAGTCACACCTCGGCAATGTCAGGAGAGAAAGGGATAACATGAAGCCTGGATAGGACCAGAGCTCAGAGAACTGATCCAATTCTGGGACTTTAGTTGGGGGATAAGCTGCTTAAGTGAATCCTAGGTACATCAAGGGCATTCAAAGGGCCTTGATCCAATAGATGGAGACCAGAGTGTGGCCATATCTGAAATCAGATAGGTGGCAGCATTATGCCTCCATTCGGTTTTGGAGCAGGTCCTCAATCATCAGGTGGGGAACACAAGAGTCCAGACCTGAGCAAAGCAGCTGCAAAGGGCGAGGCAAACTAAAGGCAAGAGGACTGGCCGAAACTGGTTTGGCTCCGGGGATAGAGCGTCGGTCTGTGGACTGAAAGATCCCAGGTTTGATTCCGGTCAAGGGCATGTACATTGGTTGTGAGCACATCACGGGTAAGGGGTGTGCAGGAAGCAACTGATAGATGTTTCTCTCTCATCAACGTTTCTAGCTCTGCCCCTCTCCCTTCCTCTCTGTAAAATAATCAAAATATATTTTTAAAAAATAATATATTTTTAAAATATATATATTTAAAAAAAATATATTTTTTAAAAATAATATTTTTTAAAAATATATTTAATAAAAAATAAAGTCAAGAAGACTGGAGTTCAAAGAAGGGCTGTGTTTCTAGGGGGAAACTGAGTAAGAATAAAAATGACTCTGGAGTCATAAAAACCTTTGTTGGATTCCATTTTCTTTACTTTCCAAAGCTCAGTGTCCTCGTGTGAAAATGGGGCTAGTGACTGTATTTATTGAAAGGATTGCTATGAAAAGTCAGTGGAATAATATATTTAAAGTCTACATATAGTTAGTGCTTATCAAATGTTTTATTATTGAAAATTAAAATGCATGAATAAAATGTAAGTTACATAAAGGTTTGAACTATTTCACATTTGAAGCCCTAAAAATTAATTATATACTAAGAGCATTTTCTCAAAATATTTTTAACATCTTTACAAAAAGCACTATATCTGTTTTTTTTAAAAAGATGACAAGGATTGATGAGGATTAGTTGAAAATGGCTTGCAAAGTAAGAATAACATAATATGATTCATTATAATCCTCAGAATAATGTATCAATAATATGGTTATAAACATATACTTATTTTCAGTTTTTATTTTCCATGATGTTTTATTTTTTATTTTTTGTTAGAAATAAACATATAATAACAAAAAAACGTTTGAATCCCAATTTCAATGTCCAACAGTTCTGAGACCCAGTTTCAATGTCAAATAGTTCCTTATGTGTACATGTCAGCAATGATATCTGGATGATGGACAGATGGTGGGTCCAACCCTCTCTGGTTTGGTCCTGGGCAACCTGCAGCAATGACAGCTGCTGACTGCTAGCATGGCCAGGCGTCGTCAGGGTCTTCTATCTCTGGGCTGTTTCTCCTCTTGTCTTCGTGTTTGGAGCAGACCTGACAACTCCTCTCTGTTGCAGGAATCCCCATGGTCTTTGAGTAGTTTTCTGAAAACATATTCTCAGCCAAAAGTTAATAAAGGAATCTTTTCTATAAAATTGTCTTGGGATCCTTTTTATTTTTGCCCAAATGATTTCCCCTTGGCTTATTTTGACACCATGTGTGATTTTCATGGGTGTCTTGCTGTTAGCCATGATGATGTTTTATTTAAAATGATGACTTCACCATAAATCATTGAAATCAATATTTTATAATACAAATTAATTAACCCAGTCAGAATTTAGAATTGCAATTTAATATTTGTTAGAAATCTTTGCATCATTATCTTTCCCAGCCCCATACGGTATTTCTGTTAATGTCTAATGATCTAAATCTTAAGAATGGGCACCACCCAATGGGGGTATCTGTTATTCTGGTACTATAGTTGTGATCCAGATAATTGGAAGTGATGACATCTGTAACAAAAAAAAAAAAAAAAGCTTCTCTTGGTGAGAGAAAGACCTGCATATAAGAGTCACACTAAAGCGTCTACAATCCAATTCATCAGCTTTCTCAAGTCTACTCAACTTTAAGAGAGCAGCAGCTGATAATATACCTGAAAGATATTGACCTAAGACATAGTGTGGTGAGTAACCTTTAGTTTCTCTTTTAAATCTCATATAAGATTTTTTTTATATTCTAGGAATTATTTGATGTGTATAATTTTCTACAAATAGTATGCTGTTGTTCAAGTTACAGTGTGAAAGGAGGGTTTGAGTTATGTTTAATATAAAATGCCACAACACAAAGTAAATTTATGCTACCAAAATACTCTGAAATTATTTATTTTTGTAATGAAAGTTTTTGAGGGGCTTTGCTTTTCCTAAAATTATCTGAAATTACACACAAAATATTATAATTTGGCATCATATGCTTGAATGATATCTTACTGAAATTTTGAAATAAAACAGACTAATGAGGAATAAATCATACTGATTTAAATAACCAATATAAATTTATTAAATTGAGATAATAGTCCATTTTTCCTGCAGACTAGCCTTATCAAACTGTTTGTTTTATGACTCCCAGAGAACTCAAGTTTTATACTAGAGCTGGAAAATTTTTTTTTACTGCTGAATATATATTTTTTATTCCCTTTAATAATGCTTTTTTCTAATTTTCTATTCTGAAAACTGTGCATGAATTGTAAGGGTATTGTACAGCCGGCTTTTCAGCTTTTTCATGACATTCTTGTAAGAAGCTTGTCTTCATTAGGAATAGGAAACAAAGCAGAGATGTCTGACATCACTAGGTGAATGTGACAGAGCTAAGATTAGACACCAATTCTGCTGTCTTCTAACTCAGTACCTTTTAAAATACCATGAACCAAAATTGAAGTGTATGTATTTGTTGCTCCATCAATAGCTTTATATTGCACAGGGAAGCTTTATATAGTACAGTGAAAATAAATGCAATAAATCATATTGCTTATACTAATTCTTTTTATCTTAAACTGTATCCAGCTTTATTAAAGATGCTTTTCATAAGCAATCATGATATTTCAGACAGGATATGGACAGACAATCATTAACAGTATACAACTTTCTAACTCCTTTCTTCAATGAACTACCAAAATCAGAAAGCCACCATAAAACCCAGTGAAGTCTTCACCTGATGCTCTAAATAGGGAAAGTTTAGAAGTGGTATAAGAAACAGAGCAGTGTGAGAAGGCAAGATGGACCATGGACCAAGCAAAGCCCATGTGCTGCTGCATCCCCTGCATTCCAGTTGGATGTCCCGCCACCATCGCCATCATATCCAAGAGAAAGGCCGAAGGGGATACTAAAGGAGATAAAGCCAAAGTTTACAGTGAGGGTTGACATTTCACACTGAGCATGTTGTTTAACAACTTTTCTTTTCACAAGGCAACCCTGACTTTCAGGACAAGAAATGAAACTAGCAGAGATTATCAATCTGTACATCCACAATCAAGAAAGGAGCTGCTGCTCTTTTGAGGGAGGCCATCTCAGTGGTGACACTGGAAAGTTCAGATTGCCCAACATACTGGAAATCAGTTTTTTGGGGTCAGGTCCCAATAGGTCTCTAGGCTTTAAGAACGCCAAGTCTATGCTTAATGTGGAGAGGGAGAAAATGACATAAAAATGAATTTTAGTTTCCCACACGATTAGATATTTGTGTCAAAGTGGCTAATGTGTGTCAATATCAAGAGATCCCTCCTCCCAGGAACCAAGAGGAAGTTTCTCAAAACTAGAAGGGAAAGGTATTTCTCCTCCCTCGCCCCCATGTCAGTCCAGCTTTTGATATATTCTATTAGTACTATATGTCCTTCCCCCCAAAATAACAATGAAGTGTTCTGTGTGCTAACAACATAGCTTTAAAAAAAAAAAAGTAAAACAAAATTCTGCATTTCTATAAAACTTGATAAAAAATAGTATTTCTAACTGTACAGTTACCAGAAATACACAGTTATAAAAAATGTGCACACTTCACTTGGCATCTCCAGCACCTTCAGCTTTCAGTGCCTGGTCTGTTTTGGCATCTCCATTTTCTGCAGGGTTATTCCCATCTTTGCCAGCATCAGCCTTCCCTTTTCCCTTTTGGTACCTTCTGTCCCTTCTTTGCAGGGGCCTCTTAGGCTTGGGCTCTGGCTTTGGAGGAGCAGGTTTAGCTGATAACCTGGCAGATCTTCTCTGTGGTTTGTCCTTCACCTTGGTTTTATCTCCTGTAGCATCCCCTTCAGCCTTTCTCTTCTGCTTGATGGTGACGGTGGCGGGAAGTCTGACTAGAATGCAGGGGATGCAGCAGAGGGTGGGTTTTGCTTGGTCTGGGGTCCATGTTGCCTCCTCACACTGCTCTGTTTCTTATATCACTTCTAAATGATGCCACCACTTCAAAAATAAATAAAGCCATATATATATATATATATATATATATATATATATATATATATATATATATATATATGAAAGCCTAAGTGACCAAAAAATCAAACAACTGGTTGACCGGGTTGCTATGACATGCACTGACCACAAGGGGGCAGATGCTCAAAGCAGAGCTGTCTGCTGATGGTCACTGCACTCCCACAGCCAACCTTCCAAGGCAGCCAACCTTTCACAGCCCCTCCCCCCAATCTCCAGCCAGGCCAAGGGATTCCCCCATGCACCAATCGGTGCACTGGGTCTCTAGTTTTCCTTTAAAATAGGAGTGCATAGTAGTGACACTATGGTATGTTAAAACAGAGAACATTAAGCACTAAGAAAAAGTACTTCTATAGTAATAGACTTTGCAATTATTGAAGTGCAGATTAAGATAAGACTGTTTATTTTGAGATGAAAAGCTAATGAGCAAAAGAGGAAAGTGCTAAAAATTATACTTAGACAAGATAGTTTTAGAAAAAGCTGAAGAAAAAAGAAATAAGCATTTTATATGAAGCCAAAGCTCTAAATTCTTACAATTAATTAGATGATTTTTAAATACTTTGACACACTTTTAAATGGTAGAAGTATGCATTAAATTAGTAAAAATATCTCTAAATCAGAGTCTACTAATTTGGTATCTATGATGATTATTGCAGTGCCTGAAATGACATTGACTTATGAAAAAGAAATTTTCTTAGTAAATAAACAGTGTTAATAATTTACCTAAGTAAGAGAATTAGCCATTTTCCAAGCAAATTATAAGCACTTAGTCATAAGCAACATAAAATGCAGGAGGAAAATCTAAAAAGTAAGCATTTTTATTCCTCATGTGGCTTAAAATTCATATAATAAAACTTGCACAAGAAGTCTCAAAAAGGTACCTTAAAAGTAAAACTAATTTACCAAGAATGTAAAACTAATCTGTCTAATTTCTAAGTCAAATTATGTGTTTATATAATACATACTAATGTATCAGTAAAATAAAGAGTCTGGCCGTACCTGGTTTGTCTTGGTGGGTAGAATGTGGGCCTTGGGACTGAAGGGTCCTGGGTTTGATTCCAGTTAAGGGCACAGGTCTGGGTTTGGGGCTTACCACCAAATAGGAGGAATGCAGGAGGCAACCAATCAATGATTCCCTCTCATTATTGACATTTCTATCTCTCTCTCCCTCTCCCTTCCTTTCTGAAATCAGTAAAAATATATATTTTTTTAAAAAAGGAGGCTGATTCCAAAAGTCCTCCATGAAAACCAATGCAATTAAGTTGCTATACCACTCTGTGTACAGTTGTGTACTTAGAAATGTAAACTAAGTTTAATTATGAAGTTTGTAATAGTAAAAATATTTTTTAAATACCTGCCATTTGCTTTTCCTTTTTAGTGAAGATGATGTCTGCAAAAGACATGGTTAAAGTAATGATCATCATGTTTGCAATTTGCTTTTTTGCAAAGTCAGATGGGAAACCCATTAAGTAAGTACTGTTTCTTGTTCTGCATGGAGAGGACATGGGGATTGGAATTTTAGGGCTGGCTTTATGATGGGAAGAGGAGAGCTAATGGAGTGGCTTCTCTGTTTCTGTTCCCTACAGAAGATCTGTGAGTGAAATACAGCTTATGCATAACCTGGGTAAACATCTGAATGCGATGGAAAGGATGGAGTGGCTAAAGAAGAAGCTGCAGGATGTGCACAACTTTGTTGCCCACGGAGCTGGAGCTTCTATAGTTCCCAAGGATGACGTTTCCCCGAGGTCCCGGAGGAAGGAAGACAATGTCCTGGTTGAGAGCCATCAAAAAAGCCTTGCAGAAGCAGACAAAGCTGATGTGGATGTGTTAAGTAAGGCTAAACCCCAGTGAAAACACATCTATTAGAGCACTGCTCCAGACAGCCTAGGGCAACGATATTACATGCTGCTAATGTTTCCACCCTCTGTTATGATCACCAAGTACCAATATTTCTAATATCACAAAACTTTACATGTAATCCATTCCTAACCATGATAGCTATCATTTAATTGAGTATGTTGATTTTATTTTTATTCAGGAGTCTTTTAATTATTCTGTTTCTGTGTCAACTGGACTGTTTATTCCTTTTAAAGTATGTTATTGCAATAATTTATAAATGTATAAAACTGCCTTCTTTAAACTCTCACTTTACAATGCAAAATAAAAATTTAATGATCATGATTCTAAAAGAGTGATGTTAAGTATTTTTCACTTGTTATAAGAATATCTTTTTGGTTATAAGTAATACGAACATGCTTAAATGGATCATGACTAGGAAGAACAACATAAAATGGTCTTATTTCCAGTTTTATTGAAAAATAATGGACATTCATCCCTATATAAGTTAAAGGTGTACAACATGATGGTTTGATTATATTTTGAACATCATCCTTTTAATATTATCAAAGTAGCAGGTCTCCAAATCTTACTACAATAGCTAGATACTATTGTCCTCTTCATTTCAGGAAAGATAATGAAATACTCAGAAAGGGAGTAAGTGATTTGAAACTTGAATGCAAAAGCATTTGCCTATACACAAACCTACTGATCATATTTCTAGTCTGAACTTCAAATTTCATGGAATAGAGTTTTTGTATATTTTAGAATATAATTTCATTTATTTGTCATTTGACACATATCTATTTAGGGTCTGTTACTTGCCATGTACCATATTAGGCACTGGATGTACACTGGTAAGCAAAATAGACACAGTTCTTGTCTTCACAAGGCCAATAATTTAGTATGGAAGACAGACATTAATTCATTATTAACTTTGTAAGTGCTATAAAAGCAAAGCACTTAGGAATGTAAAATATGCAGCTCTGATCTACTTAGGTCAATACTGTTCAATACAGCTGTCTGTGATGATGGAAATGTTCTGTATTCTGTGCTGTCCAATACCATAGCCACATATGCATTTAAAATGTGCATATGGAGCCCAGATGGCTTCATGCAGCCACAATCCCCACTAGTTTTTACAACCAGAAGTTATGGGGACTTCTCTCCCTGGTACTGGAACTCTCTTGGGAGGCCTGATGTGGGGCTATGATCCCTCACTCCTTAGGGATGAGCTTCACAAACAAGATATCCCTCTGGATTTTTATCCTCCACAGGTGTGTTTGGTGTCTTGGCCCCTCCTACCAGCCTCAATGTGGCTTCTTCTTTAATTCCCTATATGCAGGACTTCCAGTCAGCTAGATTCCAGGTAGTTCTGAATAATGGTTGTTCTGTAATTTTAATTCAGTTGTAATTTTGATGTGTTTATGGGAGGATTGGCACACCACATTTACCTATGCCACCATCTTGACTAGAAGCACTTTACTTTTATTATTGTATATACAAAATCATGTATAAAATATAAATGTATATTTTCAAGAAAAAATATATAATGAACACTATTACTCACTATTCAGATTATGAAATAGAATATTGCCAGTATCTTAGAAATTCCTTCTTTGCCCTTCTCAGTCACATCCCTGTTTGTCCTAGCTTCCTTTTTTTTAAAAAAATATATTTTATTGATTTTGTACAGAGAGGAAGGGAGAGAGATAGAGAGTTAGAAACATCGATGAGAGAGAGAGTCATCGACCAGCTGCCTCTTGCACACCCCCTACTGGGGACATGCCCGCAACCAAGGTACATGCCCCCTTCACCGGAATCGAACCCGGGACCTTTCAGTCCCCAAGCCGACGCTCTATCCATTGAGCCAAACCGGTCTCGGCTGTCCTAGCTTCCTTTTTATCGATATATTTATCATTATTCTCTTTTTCTTTTCTTTTCTTTTTTCTATTTCCTTCTTTTTCCCTTTCTTTTTTATTTATTTTAATTTTATTTATTTATTTATTTATTTATTTATTTATTTATTATTGTTTTCTCTTTCTTTTAAATCCTCACTCACGGATATGTAGAGAGAGAGAGAGAGAGAGAGAGAGAGAGAGAGAGAGAGAGAGAGAGAGAGAGAGATGAAAGAGAACCATTCATCAGTTGCCTCCCCTACACACCCAGCTAAGATTTTCTTGCTTCTCTTTTTTTTAAATATATTTTATTGATTTTGTACAGAGAGGAAGGGAGAGAGATAGAGAGTTAGAAACATCGATGAGAGAGAGTCATCGATCTTGCACACCCCCTACCGGGGATATGCCCGCAACCAAGGTACATGCCCTTGACCGGAATCGAACCTGGGTCCCTTTAGTCCCCAAGCCGACGCTCTATCCATTAAGCCAAACCGGTCTTGGCTCTCTTGCTTCTCTTTATAAAATGTCAAGATCCCTTGATTAGATTAGTCTAAAATCATTTTTGTTTTTGTTTTGTTAATACTCACCTGAGGATATTTTTTCCATTTTTTTCCTGAGAGAGTAGAAGAGAGGGAAGGAGGGAGAGAGAGAAACATTGATGTAAGAGACACATCAACTGGTTGCCTCCTGCATGTACTCCAATTGGGGGCAGGGAGCAAACCCTGAAACCCAGGTATGTGCCCCTGACTGGGAATTGAGTCTGAGATTTTTCTGTATGGAGGCCAATGCTTAACCACTGAACCACACTGTCTAGGGCTCTAATATTTTTTAAATGTATGTTTTTGTATAACATGGACTCTATCTTTCTAGCTCATGATATTTATTTTCTCACCATCCACTATAGTTAATCCCTGCTTCATATTTTTAGGTTTTTGTTAGTGTTTAACATAAAGGTACTCATTTCTGAATTAGTTAAGGGGAACAAATTGCTGTGACAAATGTATAGCCACCTAAATAAAATAGAAATATTTTTTTCTATCTCTGACCTCCTATAGCACATTATCTCCATCTCCCTATAACAGTTTTCCTTTTATTTGTTACTTAATTACATAGCTCATTTATGCCAGTAGAACCTGTATATTAATGATGTTTGTATCTTCCCTAATGTTCTTATCCTGGGTCTTACCCAATATTTGCTGAAGAGTC